TCAATTCAATCAATTTACACACCCATTCCTTTTGAAGTGGAGTCTTCTTGCTTTTCCATTTGCCTGCATATAGAATCCTAGCACAGGTAATCATGTAAAAAAGAAGTTTCCCAAATCTGTGTTCTAGTTTTTTATCTACACATATGTTTAATAAATACATTTTAGGGTCCATATTTAACTGAGTTGCCAAAATTTCCTCCATCGTTTTGTGGATAGCGGTCCAATACTTTTAAGCTTTTTTACAGGTCCACCATAGGTGATAAAAAGTTCCCCTTTCTTGGTTACACTTCCAGCATTTATCCAAAAGTCCTTTATATATTTTGGCTAGTTTGGCTGGAGTTACATACCATCTGTGGTGCATCTTATATTTTCCCTCAAATCGAAGCTGGTTGTATAACTTAAAGTATTAGTCCATACTATTTCCCATTGTTCTAGTTCGATTATTTGTTTTATGTCTTGAGCCCATTTTACCATGTACTCTTTCACCACTTCTTCTTCTAAATCAATCTCCAGCAAACACTTGTAAAACAGGCCTATTTTATGTGGGTTATCAGACGTTATATGCTCTTCAAATTTGTTTTTATTAATTCTTATCCCTATTATTTTAGAATCAAGAGTAAATCTTTCTTTTAGTTGTCTATATACAAACCATCCTATCATGTACCCTTCTTCAATAAGTTGGTCTAAACTTTTAAATTCTAAATTAGCTTCAGTTGATTTAGTTTTTATTAGATCTTAGTAGGTTATCCAACTATCCTGGTGGATTAACTTCTCTGCCATTAAAAGCTTCATGGATCGAGGTCCAAATCGGTATTTTAGGACATAGTCTTTCTTTGTATTTATACCAAACTCTTAAAAGAGATTTTCTAATGAAATGGTTCATAAAATCTTTTGTGTTGTTTGTGGTAAAACAACTATGCATGTAGGCCAAATCTTTGGTCTACCACTCTACCCCTTCTAAAGCAAGCAACTTTTTATCCTTTAAATAAAACCATTCCATTAGCCACTCTAAGCAATTTGCCTCATAGTATAACTGTAAATTTGGTAAATCCAATCCTCCCCTTTCTTTCTTGTCCTAAAGGGTTTTAAATCTAACCCTGGGTTAGTCTTCTCCCATTCCATATAAAATCAGAGATTTTTTTATTCCAGCTTCCAAAAGGCTTATTGTTTATTATAGTTGGGATACATTCGAACAAATACATAATCTTGGGGAGTATGTCCATTTTTATTGCTGATATCTTCCCAAGCCAGGAGAGGTTCAGTTTTTTCCCATGCTGTCAGCTCTCTTTTTATTTCTTTCATCAGTTTTTCATAGTTGTTTCTAAACAGATCTACATTTTTGGTTGTTATCTCTATTCCTAAATATCTCACTTTTTTGCCTATTTGAAATCTTGTTGTTTCCTGAATCCTTTCATTTTCCTCTT